TGGCAAACCTTTGAACCTTTTCCAGTTTAGTCTTATCCTTGACTAGATATGGACTCCATGCTGGGGCTGCATACTCCAGGATTGGCCTGACATATGTGGTATACAAAGTTTTGAATGATTCTTTACACAAGTTTCTGAATGCCGTTCGTATGTTGGCCAGCCTGGCATATGCCGCTGATGTTATCCGCTTGATAACCGCTTGTGTGTGTGTGTGTGTGTGTGTGTGTGTGTGTGTGTGTGTGTGTGTGTGTGTGTGTGTGTGTGTGTGTGTGTGTGTGTGTGTGTGTGTAATAATTACCTAAGTGTAGTTACAGGATGAGAGCTATGCTCGTGGTGTCCCGGACAGAACACTGGACGCGTTATCCTGTGGTCCCGGCGAGAAACAATGGACAGAGTTTCTGATGCCCCTGTTACCTAGCGGTAAATAGGTATCTGGGAGTTAGTCAGCTGTCACGGGCTGCTTCCTGGGGGGTGGGGGGGGTGGAGGCTTGGTCGAAGACCGGGCCGCGGAGACACTAAACCCCAAAATCATCTCAAGATAACCTCAAGATCTCAAGATAACCATCATCCCTCGCAGCTCTGGGACGAGTCTCGTTGCATACTTCTGCACCTTTTCGAGCTTCTTTGTGTTTTTTAGATGGGGCTCCAGGATGGGGCGGCATACTCTAAGACTGGCCCCACATAGGCGGTAGACAGTGATCTAAAAGCCTCCTTACTCAAGTTTCTGAAGGATGTTCTGACTTGCCAGAATAAAGAATGCGGCTGACGTTATTTTATTTATATGAGTCTCTGGAGTTAGGTTAGGTGTTATGTCCACTCCCAGGTCTTTTTCTCTAGTCGTTATAGTGAGGTAGTTTCCCTTCATCGTATATTGGCTTTCGGTCTCCTGGCTTCTGTCCATCACCTTGCACTTGTTAGCGTTGAACGCTAGAAGCCATTTCTCGGACCATCTCTGCAACCTGTTCAAGTCATTCTGGAGAATCTTACAATCCTCATCCGTCTCAACCCTCATTTGTTTTGCATCATCTGCAAACATTGACATAAAAAACTCAACTTCTGCAATCAAGTCATTTACATAAATGAGGAATAGAATGTGTCCCAGCACTGATCCTTGAGGCACCCCGCTTGTTACTCTACGCCAGTCGGACTCCCCGCTCCTCACTCTCACACTGACACCTGTCAGGTAATTCCTTACCCATGATAGTGTGTTTCCGTCTACTCCCGCCTGCCTCTCAAGTTTGTATAGTAACCTTCTGTGTGGTATGGTATCAAAGGCTTTTTGGCAGTCCAGAAATATGCAATCTGCCCATCCTTCTCTATCTCACCATATTTTCGTTACCTTAATTTCTTTGCGGAAAATTCCCGCAAAGTTAAGTACGCACATTATTAGGGTGTTTTTTTACTACAAGATCAACTTGTTATGTTGGTCAGGTGTGTGCAGGAGGGGAGGGGGTGCGTGTGGTGTGTGGGTAGAGTGTCTCACTGTGGGAACGTTCCTCCCTGCACCACCCCTGGTGCTGGGTGGGGTGGTGGTGGGGGGCGTGAGCGGTAGAGGAAGCCGCATGGGTGGCGCTGCTAGGGAGGGGGTTGTTGGTGGTAGGGTGGTTGTGGCAAGGGTGCAGGTGGCAAGTATATCGGCGACCCCTTGATGTGATCAGACTCAATTACGGGCTCACCATAGCCTGTGCTACATGGACATTTCGTTCTGAGTAGCTAAATCTAAAACAACAACAACAACAAATGTGATCATGATTTGTGTTGTCACTAGAGTGATGGCGCGCGCCATCCACACAGAGGCTCCGGAGCCACGCACACTACACAATTTAGTTAGTAAATGGAATACACTAGGAGGTGATGTGGTGGAGGCTGACTTCATACAGCCTCCACCTCCACCAATGTAGATATGATAGAGCTCGAGAAGCTCTATCTGCACACCAGTAGGTTCACGGTTGAGAGGCGGGACCAAAGAGCCAAAGCTCAAACCCCGCAAGCACAACTAGGTGAGTGCACTGGAGGCGGTCTTCACACCAATATGTCAACGGTGGCAATTTCAAATGACTTCGGTACGGGGAAAAAGACAAACCTTACAAGGTATACATGACGCAGGACACAGATCTAGTAGACAGGAGTGACCAAGTCAGACACTGCACTAATAACGTCAGTCCACCTAATGTTTACACATCACAGTAAGGGGAACATAGCATCAGCCAGGACAGTGATAGAGTGGATAATAAGAACATATACTCGACGACATCACCTTCATGGAAAGTCATGATTCGGACCTGTACAAATAAAATTCGACGTTCCGGAGTATAGAGTAATTATAAAAAGAAGGAACCAAGCCGCGGAGACTAGCTCCGGACTGGGTACAGTCAAACAACAACTCATAACATCAATAAAGCCATCAAAAGTAAGTGCAAAAAGCGCAACTAGTAAACCCGGTGTGAACAAAGAGGCCCGCCACTCCTCTACTGCCTCTCACCATCTGCCTCTTGACTACCTGTTGTTGGGAAAAACGCTGCATCGTTAAATAGGGAACTTGACAACTTCCTGTTGGAGTTTCCGGATTTACTGTTGCTGGACTTAATTTCAGTAGATTAATAGTCAACATAAATGTGTGCATAACAAGTGGTATATCTCACAGTTCACTTATTGTAACTTATCAAAGCTTAATGATGCGGACACCTACCTTTTGAATATTCCGAGGATCAACGTCCTCGCGACCCGGTCTCCGACTAGGCCTCCTGGTTTGTGGTTAACCAGACTACCAAACTAACATTATACTTGCTATATCATTTTAGTACAGGGGTATACTTGTATCTATTTTGTCTCATTACTATAGAGTGGATGGTAGTTATTAAGTGTGAGTGGTTAGTACAAGCTGGTTGATCAGTCCAGCAACCAGGAGGCCTGGTCGACGACCGGGCCGCGGGGACACTAAGCCCCGGAAGCACCTCAAGGTAGCCTCAAGGTAGCACTGGCACTGGTCAAGCTTGGCCTCGGCCGGGCTTGGGGAGTAGGAGAACTCCCAGAACCCCATCCAGGTACCTGCTCCACTCTCCATTCTACATAGCAGTCATGACACTCTGGCTTCCTGACAGACCTTGCCACGATTCACTTGTATGAAGAGGATACTGATCACCAGTGAGACTGGCTTCCCAGTGTCTAGTCACCGCCAGGCACCGAGCGGCGAGCACTGGACTCTCACTTATCAACCCATCTAGGGCTTTAGGCCACCATCTATTGTTCCTGTGGGTATACTCGAGGACACACCTCTTGATATAAGTTGTGTTGTATAATTTGTTGCGTTGTGTGGCGTCACCACTACAGGACTATATTACAGTCAATGAGTGCGTGTTGTTGGTAAATTGAAAGTGCAAGATAAGTGATTATGTATTGTTAGTTATTATGTTGATTTGATGTTGCAATTGTACTGTTGTCTCATAGCTGACAGTATTTTGTTCAACAATAATAAAATATTATGGAAGAAGTACGTAGTGTTGTTAAAGTGGGGCTTACGATCAGGATACTCATACTGACTCATGAGATGAGTCAGTATTATTTTATATCCATATGTTTTTTCATGGGTGGGTGTCCAACCCCTCCGACGATAACCAGAAGTGCATACCTTCAGACATGCGGCTGGGCTGCCATTATCCTGTGTACCTAACCTCCCCGACGACCTGGAGACTACATGTTCACTACTACCATCATATTTCTTAACAGATAAAATGTCATTCTCTTCCGGGGTTTACTTGTGTAATTTTGTTTCCCTGTGGCCTGCGTGTGTGCGTTGGCTTGGGTCCACCCGCCTGGCGCAGCACGACGCACCTGTGGCGTAGTGGGCGAAGCTTGATGTGTGCGCCGTTCTCGTACCAGTGTTGCATCACCAGGACCTGCGCTGGCTGGGCATTCTGGCTAATCATACGCTGGCTAATCAACCAGGTATCAACCAGGCATCAACCAGGCATCCTCCCCCAGGACCAGTGCCTCCCCGCTGTCAGCAGCGATGCATCCTCGCCCATCGTCATTATCCAGACCTTAGTTACCAGCTCTATCATTATCTCTACACGACTTCTTAAATGACACATTAAATGCTCAGACCAGGTCACGCTTGGCCCGCTGGTGAAGGGCGAGCCAGCGAGCGAGATCCCGTGAGATGGGGTACTTGTATCAGAGTACTTGGTTATGTTCCCAGGTAATAGTGCTCAGTCTCCCAGGCTTGTGCTGTATAGAGCCCCTTGTAGGCGTACTGAGATACCTGGCCCGATGCTCTCCACGATCTGGTATGGTTCGTTAATATATTTCCTCCTTTCTGTGTAATAACATACTTTTAATCCTCTTCGGGCAGAATTAACCGCTCTTTGTTTTTCTTGCGGTCAAGTGAGGTCAGGAGCCGGTAACACTGGTTGTTGTTGTTGCTTTTAGATTCAGCTACTCAGAACAAATAGTTGCAAGTAGCACGGGCTATGGTGAACCCGTAGTGGACTTACCTGACACATGAGCGGGGCGGTAACTGCAACACAGGTCATTTGAGAAAGGAAAGAGAGTGAGATGTGGGGAGGGGGAGGATAAGAGGGTGGGGGAGAACATGTATGTGGGTAGAGGGGGTAGCGATATAATTGTGAGGTAGGGGTTGATTGAGAACTGTTTGTATCGTCCACATGTGTTTGTCCACTTTCCGTCCCATCCGCTATTGTCCATAGGATGGGTCCATTCTAAACTATTGAGTCTAATGAAATTTGAAATTGAAGTAAGTTTATTGAGGTAAAATGCATACAAAGGGATGAGGTAGCTCAAGCTATTCTCGCCCCGTTCAGTACATCGTGTTAATACATACATATACACACATCACGAGTCTATTGAGTCCATTATAAACATTGCTCTACACAAGGATTACTAGAAATTCGATTGATTGGTGAAGGTGAAGATTACGGGCATGAATAGCCCGTAAACTAGAAATTCGTTGCATGGTGACTAATAAAGGTTTTTCCCCCCACAGACGACGGTCCGCGTATGGGTGAGGTGCCTGATGCAGGAGATGGAGTACAAGACGGTGTGCATAGCGTACTCCACCACCTGCAGGGAGCTAGTCCACTCCATACTGTCAAAGTTTAAAATGAAACATAGAGATCCGAATCTGTTCTACTTAACCATGGAAGTCACAGTCCGAAAAACTGGTAAGTTGAGGTTTGGTTGAGAGACTGGTCTGTTTCAGACCTGAAGATGTTGTGCGGTACAATTTAAAAAGTCCAAGAATAACATTCTTATTGGAATACTTTAATACAACAATAACAACAAAAAATGTTTACTCAGGTAAACGTACATATAAAGAAGATAAGTTACAAACATAATGTTGGATTTATAGATAGAGCTAGTACATACGATACCTAAAGCCACTAATACGCACAGTAAATGAACAAATTCACAAGGGCCGTGACGAGGATTCGAACCTGCGTCCGGGAAACTCAGTGTTTCGGGTAAGGTGTGGGAAAAAACCCACTTAGACTAAAGCTTAATACTAATTGAGATTAAAGTATAAATTGTGTAGAAAAAAAGGGTGGGGGGGGGGGAACATGGCAAAAATCAGCAATTATACAACTTGGTCAACAAACAGGATTGTTTGAAAATGGCAAGACATGGGTTGACATTTAGGGGGTAAGGTAGGTGTCATATAAGGTAAAATGTCATTAATGGTGTACTAATTTTTCTGGCGTTATTAATTCAGTTATATACTAGTAGCACACAGACAGACAGATGTACACACGTACAGTCATGTACACACGTACAGTCATGCACGCACGCACACAGTGAGAAATGTGAGTTATTGCATTAATCTTAAGAGCATTCGGAAGGTGAAGCTAGCAACCTAACCTAGCTTGACCCCTGCGAGCACATCTAGGCGAGTACACACACATATGCATACATATATTTCTTGTGCACACCATTAATTGCAGACACATGATCAGTGGTGATTAAACGTACATATATTAATTCTTTTTTGTTTTGTTGAGGACAGGAAGTTTGGGTATACTGTATATACAGTATAACACACAGAGATCACACTAACGTGATGCATCAAATGAACAAATCCACAAGGGCCGTGACGAGGATTCGAACCTGCGTCCGGGAGCATCCCAGACACTGCCTTGACGAGGTTCGAATCCTCGTCACGGCCCTTGTGGATTTGTTTATACAGTATATATACAATCTTGGTATTGTGATGAGGTACCCCAAGGTCGAACTACTGACACTCCCCGGGATGCAACCCCGCAACATTTGCTTAACTCCTTGCTCCCTATTTATTGCTGGGTGAACAGAAGCATTAGATGGAAAGAAACACAGCCAATCATTTGCATCCCGCCTCGGAATCAAACCTGGGGATCCCCGGATAACAAGTCGTGAATTGAAATTGAAATAAGTTTATGAGGTAAAATACACACAAAGGGATGACAAGTTGTGAATGAAGCCAACTGTACTACGAGACCGTATGAGTGTAGCTTTCCTCTGGTTGATTACGATGTATCATTACAGGAGGCATTATGAGGACCACCCTCACTTTGGAGGACGACTCGAGACCAGCAGAACTTCAGTCATGTCACCCAAGAGGAGACTCCAAGCTGGCCCTGAAGATGCGACCAGGCGGCCTTCTCAGGGTGTACGACGGCGCCCTGGTCCCTGGGGTATGTTCTGCATCTCTACTAAAGTGTTGGGATTTGTTTCAATATCTTTTCAGTTTCAATTTGTTTCAATTGCTTAGTATGATAATGCCTTTTGCTCTTGTCTGAACTGATTTATATATATGTATAATTTTGTTTAGTCGCAGTACAAGAGTTTGCTGGTGAGCGAGAGGACCAGCTGTGAGGAGCTGGTGGGTCTGGTCTTACAGTGCAACAATATTCACGATAACGTCAACAACTTCTCCATTTACGAGGTAGGCCTATGCTGATGTCGTGTATATCTCTTATAAACGTATATTTATGTTGAACATGTTTACGATTTTCACTTGTTATTTTATTGTTTTAGAGAAAATTAATAATATACTTGCTGATTGATAGATTAGTTCTCCCCTCACATCAATATAATTATCATTGTATGTTGTACTTATTACAATATTTGAATCCTGCCGTTGTGAAATTTGATATATTTGTGAGTGTGTATGGTATGAGCCCTCAGGTTACTTCATCATATGTTGCTCAATAACTTGTTTGTTTTGACTGTCAATCAATAGAAGGCTTGTCTGAAACGTAATGTTTGATTCATTTATGTGTTATATTTTATTCCTGCTTAGTTATCAAGTGATAAGTCAATGTTTTCTTCTTTAACTTTGTTTGAATATAACAATGTTTTTATTGATGAGGCGGCACAGGCTAGCACATTATGGCTTGATGAGGTGTCACAGTCTAGCACATAATAGCTTGATGAGGTGTCACAGGCTTAGCACATAATGGCTTGATGAGGTGTCACAGGCTTAGCACATAATGGCTTGATGAGGTGTCACAGGCTTAGCACATAATGGCTTGATGAGGTGTCACAGGCTTAGCACATAATGGCTTGATGAGGTGTCACAGGCTAGCACATTATGGCTTGATGAGGTGTCACAGTCTAGCACATAATAGCTTGATGAGGTGTCACAGGCTTAGCACATAATGGCTTGATGAGGTGTCACAGGCTTAGCACATAATGGCTTGATGAGGTGTCACAGGCTAGCACATAATGGCTTGATGAGGTGTCACAGTCTAGCACATAATAGCTTGATGAGGTGTCACAGGCTTAGCACATAATGGCTTGATGAGGTGTCACAGGCTTAGCACATAATGGCTTGATGAGGTGTCACAGGCTAGCACATAATGGCTTGATGAGGTGTCACAGGCTAGCACATAATAGCTTGACCCAAAGCAAGATCACTTCATCTTGTTGCTGTGTTGTTAGAGCATTAAAGTTCATAATTGACAAGTTGCTTTTTTATTTTTATTATTAGGTGCGTCGAATCGACGGAAGAGAACGCAAACTTCATCAAGACGAAAAACCATTGAGACTGACCTGCCGGTGGGCTTCCCGAGACCACGCATGTCTGGTGGTACGCCACACTCCCTGTTTAGACCCAACACATGCTCAGATTTCTCCACTCTCAACCTTAAGGTATCGAAAATCTTTACATTTGATAGCATGCTATTGTGCCTTAATGTTAGCTCTACTTAATTATTTATCATTTTTTATTATTTATCAAATCTGATGAGAAACATCTTAACATGCTGACACAAAATGAAGTAAAGTTGGAATTTGGATGATGTCTCCTTTTAATGACCTGTAAAGTAATTAGCTCATGCAGCTAGGTTTAAGATAGTCTATTACAGCACTTTAGTTCATTTATTATGCACCCCATACCCATCTTGCAGGCGGTAGTGGAAAGGGTTACAGAGGCACATAATTGGCTCAGGGACTGAACCCCACAATTCATTTAGCTAAGCAAGTTACAATCTTGATGAGCTAGTTACAAAATTCAGTACAAGTCGCCACATCAACAATGGGTTCGAGATCGACCACAAGTACAGTTTCTAAATTAAGCAACTGACATATGTGGAGAGCTAGTGTCACAATTTATATGTTTGTCCTGAACACTGCCCCCTCCCCCATCCAGTGGGCAGCAGTGGATAGGTTACAATCACTCTTAGTTAGATGTAGTAAACCTCCTAAGGTTTAAAGTAAACCTCCTGACACTGTATAAACATCAGAGGTTCACGGTTGTTCAACATCCTTCCAGTGAGCATAAGAAATATTGCGGGAACAACCATGGGCATCTTCAAGAGAAAACTAGATTGTTTTCTCCAAGAAGTGCCGGACCAACCAGGCTGTAGTGGATATGTGGGGCCTGCGGGCCGCTCCAAGCAACAGCCTGGTGGACCAAGCTCTCACAAGTCAAGCCTGGCCTTGGACCAGGCTTGGGGAATAGAACAACTCCCAGAACCCCCATCAAGCAGGTAAGGATACCTGATCAACTAGGCTGTAATTCATGTCGGACAGCAAGCAGCTGCATCTAATATCCTGGTTGACCAGACACTAACCTGGAGGCCTAGTAACACTCTGGGCTGCGGGAAATTTATCCTTGGAATCGTCTCAAGGTATCCTCCATATATGGATATATGGGCTGTAGTGGATATGTGGCCTGTGGGCTGCTCCAAGCAACAGCAGCATGTTGGATCAAGTTCTCACAAGTCAGCCTGGCCCTGAGCCGGCTTTGGGGAGTAGAACTACTCCCAGAACCCCAACCAGGTGCAAACCAGGTATATATTTTTAACTACATAAACTGACTATGTAATACTTTTCAATGTAGCTATAAATTTATTTTAGGAATTAAATTGTTACAGAGCATCCCTAAGACGGTCTTGTGTTAAGAAAATCAGCTCTAGTGTTCATCAAAAAACCATTCAAGAATTATCATCATCATCCACATCATCCTCTTCACCAGTGGAGGTCACATCAGACAACATGATACCCTCTACTACAATTACTATTTCCCCTAATGGAGCCTCTACAGTCGTAGTAAACACATCAACTATTAACTCGAACCTCAGTAATAATGACAACAACTGCTGGAAGTCTACAAATGACAATGAGACGGCAGAAAGCAATGAGGAGCCTTGCCCAGTTCCTCCACTAAGAAGTCCAAGACCAATACCACCTTTCAGGACACCAGTACGACGCCAGGTAAAATTCTGTTTGTTTTATGGCATTTTAATTGTAAATATAAGATGACATAGACAATAATATTAAAGCTGTGTTAAATTGTAACATTTTAAATATTACAGGTAGTAGTATAGGTAATTCTTTAAATATGTTTTGATTTAAAGTAGCTTATGCTTGAATGTTGTAGAGCATATAGCAAACATATCAAATAGAAATTAAACAAATATGAGGGCAGTGCAAAAGAAGCTATACAGTCTGCTATTCTTGCTGGTTGCCTTCAGTCATACCTGCCACTCAGTCTTCAGTCTGCCACTCATGATAGAATAACCATATACTGTAGTTATATACTGTAAACTTAAATCTATTGATGCTACTGTATTGCATGTTCAATATCATATCCTAAGATTATTAATTTTACTAAAGCTATATTAATTAATTAATTGATTAATTAATTAATATATTTAGTTAAGAACAAATTAATTGTAAAATTTGCTGTATTCCTTCTTGTGAAAGCAAGGTAATTATGAGGAAAAAGCACCAAGTCATAACGACTATATAGCACATGGAAAGAAAAAGGGTTTAGGATAGGGCAGAGGATAGGAATGGTGCCCAATCACTTGGACAGTTGGGGATTGAACGCTGACCTGCAAGAAGTGAGAGTGACTCTACTGTGCAGTCTAAATGGTTGGGCTCCTACCATGAACTCTCACCTGAATAGTCTGTAACCCAGTTAGTTGTACAGTTACCAGTCCTAAAAGATAAAAGGAATCCTGTAGTCTATCCTCCACAAGTACAGGTACATGTATAAATTCACATATCTACACTAGCCACATGTCCAATTTTAAAGTTTTACCTTCCAAATAGCTACTTACATCTGGCTAAGATAATTATAAGCTTCCCTTAACATTATGCAAGCCTCTGCTATACATTGCACAACTGCCTTCGGACTGCATTTTGGTGAGCAGGTCAAATAAACTATGATACACTGAAGGTGTGTGGTCTATGTTATGTTTACAGTTCTTAATGGTGGTTCATTAATGCTCTACACATCCCAGAACTTTTCAAACACTTTGCCACTGGTGGTATAACCTGGTAAACAGTCTAATTCTCATATAGGCTGCCCCTCTTGGCTGTTCTTTTAGTTTTCCCTTTCTTGTAGGTAGTTATTCAACTGTAAAAATTGTATTCAAGTATGGAAACATTATCTTCAGAAAGACATTGCTACTTTGGAGACAGTTCAACACCGGGCAACAAAAATCAATCCAGAACTAAGTCGACTCTCATACCAGGAATGGTTGAGGGTGTCAGGGCTAACACCACTGCAAACGAGACATGACAGGATGGATTTTGTCAAAGGTTTAAAAATAATGAAAAATTTGAAGGATATTGATTTAGACAATTTCTTTAAAAGGTCATATGTAACACAAACAAAGAGCAATGGTTCCAAACTCAACTAGCCACAGTGTAGGACAGAAAACAGAGATGCTTGTTCATCAATAGGGTTACAAACTCATGGGAACTGCCTACCTGCCAAAGTTGTAAATGCTAAAACATTGCTGAATTTTTAAGTCCAGCTTGAAAAAATCATCAGGACAATTAGGGTACCTTTGACAATCTGCCGGCTCCCCTCCTTTTCCCCCCGAATCAACGCAAGGTAACCTGTCCTCATCAAGGCTGCTAGAGTGTTAGTGGCCCTCACCTAAATTCAGGTATACACACATGTATGTTTATAAGTATTTTTGTGTTTATATATATGTCGATAGAGAAATGACAATTAATTTATTCATTTTTCCCTCAGCTGCCGTGGACCCAGAGTGTGGATTTGGTTGAGACCCCAGTAGATGATGACGATAACACTGACCTCCACACTAATATAAGAACACGGAGGGCTCATTCATACAATGATTATGAAAATTATTTTTATATATAATCTTTCCTGAGTGAAATTTAGAAATTACGGTATATATAATGAGGAAAAGACAAGTGAATTAAGAATTATTATTATTAACCTATGACATTTAAACTACATATATCAGGTATATAATAATTTGGTTGCATATGTGAATGAAGTACAGAGTGCAGTAAACTCTTGGATTAACATAAGAAGGCAAATTTTGTTCTACAGACACTTAATATTGGGACTTGTGTGTAAATATTGCTGCATGATATGTCACAGTATTATCATTTTACTTGTACACAGTAGTACTTTATAAACAGATCTGTGTATTAGAAAGATATTTTGTATTTGCGTTAAATTTAAACACCCAGCTTTAAATTATAGCATTAGTTGAGTGTACTGTATTGTAGGTATGCATTATAAAATAACCATAGGATTTAGTCAGTTATGTTATATTGTATATCCTACACTTACAAATACAAGTGCCAATTTTGTGTTAACTTGCATCATACTGCATCTCGGTGCCCAGCCTGCATATACAGTGCACATGATAATGCCAAACAATTTATAGAGAAATTTTGTTAAAATTTCCAGTCCCTTATCTTAGAATTGGTTCAACTGAGCTCAAAGTTCTGACAGTGATAGTTACTCTATGTTGAGTGTACACCTGATTAGAGATTTGTTGCCTGTATTGGTTTTATCAAGTTTGATTGACATTTAATTCAGCTTTAATTAAACAACTCTACTCTCAACATGTTACAATTCTTACATTTTAATATGTACACTGTTTCAAAGCTTTCTCAGGCTAATATGTCGTGCCTGTTGGCCATTAACACAGTCTCAGAAGCTGTTGGTGAAAGTAACCAAAAAGCTTACATATGATATTATGCTACAGTATCTAAAAAAAATTGAAATATTAGAATTTAGTATATTACTTAAAAAAATCTAGTTATCACTAGTATGTGTTAGTGCCTTATGTAGATGGGCTTAGCCAACAGTTAACAGACTTGTGGGATGTTATCATTGGCTTTTGGCAACAAATATATAATGTACAGAATAGTACCAATGAAATGAAGAAAATTTGTGTTTACTTTTCAGTTTATATTTTGATGTACTGTATTAAATTTTGTCTACATTCAAATTTGCATTAATACACTGTATTTGTAAAGTAAATATGACCAAATTTTAAACTTTTGTCTTGTATTCTTTGCTTGTACAGCTGCTTGCTTATGAGCATAAAAACACAATTTCAGGATTTAGTGTTATTGAAGAAAGAATTACACAAGGAGTTCATGTTGTTAGTCCATATCAATGTACAGTAATTAAGAAAAAGTTTCTTTTTGTTTATACAAAAAGAGTCCTGGTAGTACTCGTAATGTCGGGTTGAACCCGTAATGAACCTGTAATGTCGGGTTCATTCTTGACTCGCAATTGAGAAGTCTAGGTTCGAATTCCAGGCGGGACAGAAATGGTTGGACGCATTACTGAGCGCCTGATGTCACTGTTCACTTAGCAGTAAGTAGGTACCCAGGAGTTAGTCAGCTTGTTGTGGGCCTGCATCCTGGGCGGGGTCAGAAATTTGACCTCTTGGCCTCGATTTAAGCCTAGTGTGTATGAATACACTATATTCATGTATTTTTTTTATTTTTACACATATCGTCATTGCTTTCTCAGAAATACTGTAGTGCTATAATGTATTTTTATGTCCTAATTTTATAAAAAAGCAAATTTTGTTTTTGTTTAATAGAAATTTGTGTAATTATATAATTTCTTTGTATGATGTACATATAGTCTGTTCAACAGACCCTGACTATGGGGTACATAATAGCAAAGATTTTTCTCTGTCCTCTTGGCTAATTCCAGGGATTTTGTATTACAAATTTACAGTATTCAGTTTTACATATCAATTAAATAGAAAATGGTTAAATATACCCAAAGACTTTAATGCCAGGTGCATTCTCACAGTAGGTAATACAGTCATCTCAAAATTTTTGCTCTTAATTCTTCTTATTTTTAAACTGGATTAATATGTTTTGAGTTAGTAAAATATAGGCTAGACATTATTGGTCACCTACATTATGTCCAGCTGCCTCTGGCATACATTTTTTATACACAAATACCAAGTACATAGAAATTTTTATGCTTGAAATTTTAGTAGTTGATCTAATTGCTCTCACTCTATGGGTTCTGTATATAATCTCATATAGGTAAGCATCATGGTTTAAATCAAACTTTAGGAATTAGCTTTTGAAATTAAACAGTTTGTGTATTTGTTTTCAGGTTCAGATTTTTTACAGTACAGTATATTTTTTGTAGTTTATTACAAAACGTACTTATTTCGTGTATTTCTTTTATCATGTGAGAGTACACTTGGATATATTTTTAAATGAAAGTATGTATTGTGTGCATAATCTGTTATTCATCAATTTTCATAAGCTTTGTGTATAAGTATGAGTGTAAGTGTGTAATATGTTGATTGTACAAATACTTTTTGTGCTTTGAGATTGTGCTAATGTGCACAAAACTGCTCAAGTGCTACCTTAGTCATTGAAAGAGCTGTAAAGTGATCAAACTTGTATTATATGTCCCAGACACTGTTGTCAAACTTGTATTATGTCTGTTTCAGACTCTCAGTGGTCAGACTCATATTGTGTCTGTCCCAGACTCCCAATGGTCAGACTTGTATTGTGTCTGTCCCAGACTTCCAATGGTCAGACTTGTATTATGTCTGTCTCAGACTCCCAATGGTCAGACTTGTATTATGTCTGTCCCAGACTCTCAGTGGTCAGACTCGTATTGTGTCTGTCCCAGACTCCCCATGATCAGACTCGTATTGTGTCTGTCCCAGACTCCCCATGGTCAGACTTGTATTATGTCTGTTCCAGACTTCCAATGGTCAGACTTGTATTATGTCTGTCCCAGACTTCCAATGGTCAGACTTGTATTGAGTCTGTCCCAGACTCTCAGTGGTCAGACTTGTATTATGTCTGTCCCAGACTCTCAATGGTCAGACTCGTATTATGTCTGTCCCAGACTTCCAATGGTCAGACTCGTATTATGTCTGTACCAGACTCCCAATGGTCAGACTTGTATTATGTCTGTACCAGACTCCCAATGAACAGAAAAGGTATTTTATTTTACTGTATTAATCACTTCAATTACAAAAAGTATTTATGTTCTTGCCATGACTTTTTCATTTTTTTTCTAAATATTGTTACTGATACATTCAGTAGAGCTTTAAGTTGTATATAATTTTGTAAATGTGTGTATGTATTGTATAATACATATTGCCAAAGATTGTTAAGTTTAATTTGAAATATATATTGACAAGACACATACTGATTTTTATATGAAACTTTTCCTAGCATAACCTATGTTTTAGGATAAGGCATCTTTTCTATACAGTAATAGTTAATATCTGGAAGGTAGTGTATGACCAGTGACAAATAATAAAACATTGGTTCATCTATTACTAAGGTAGTGCAGTTCTATATGTCCAGCATAGTACAGTGCCTGGACATGTTGGTGCAGAACCATGCTTGGCACTCCCTTGTGCCATTCTTACTCCCAATGTGAAAATTGTTTTATTATATTCAAGTTATATTTGAGATTCATGTCGTTGAATGATTTTCTGATGCCAACATGTGAACGTATGAAATGTTCAAACTGATACAGTATTTGGTTTTGTCATAGTGAGTATTTAAACCAAGTGAAATCATAAGATTTTATTTTTCAGCTCTTTATTTTTTTCCGCCTTTTTTTTCCTTCGTGTCATTTACAGCATCTTGTTATATTATTAATAATCCTTTCTGCATCTTCATTTTCCAATATTGTGAGAGTCAATTCTGAGCCTGTTCTCATATCACAGGTAATTTATCTTAATCAATTTAGTATCAACTCTGAACATTTTCAAGTTTCCTTGTGTGCTTGATAAGGTGTGAGTGCCATGCTGGTCCTGTATACTCCAGTTCAGGCTTTATATGTGGTATACAACATCTTGAATTACTTTTGAGATTCTTGACATTGAGTACCCTTATAAGAACCAATACTGCTAATGTTTTTCTGTTTATATGTACCGTACTGTACTTTAGATATTAAGTTTGATGCTATATTTGCCTTTCAGCTGGTATGTACAACTGGCCTTCCTTCACTTATTCCTTTCCTATATTATTTTCCAGCAATTAATATTTCTGCAGCCTGATCTCTGACCAGGCTTCCAGGTTGGTGGTCTGGTCATCCAGGTTATTGGATGCTGTCGCTGATAGTCTGATGTATGAATCACTGCCCAGTTGATCAGGAATCCTTTGGAAAGGTTTATCAAATTCTCTCTTGAACATCATGAGTGGTTGACTAGTTAAACCCCTTATACTTAGAGGGAGAGTGTTGAAAGTATTCGGTCATTAATATTGACAGAATTGTCTCTTAGTGTACCTAATGAACCTCATTTTTTCAGTGAGGCCATTTTTCATTTCCTGCCATGCCTTCTGGTCTCGTGGAATTAGTTACATGTATAAATTTGGGACCAGTCCCTCTAATATTTTCCAAGTATAAATTATTATGTATCTCTCACCAGTACTTTAGAAAATACAAATTTAGAATTGGTAAAAATTCCCAACAATTTAGATGTTTTATTGAATGGATTCAGGCAGTAAAAGATCTCTGCACATTCTTCAAGTCAGCCACTTTTCCAGCTTTGAACGTATGAATTAGTGTGCAACAATATTCCACCCTGGAGACACTAGGTGTCTTAGAATGTGCCATCATTAGTCTGGCATCTGTTATTTGAAAGGTTCCTGTTATTCAGCCTGTCATCTATAAAGAGTGATAAGTTACTATAGTTTTTGACCTTGTCTACAACAGATATGAGATTGAGAAAAAGTACTGGAGCAAGCACAGCTTCCTGGAGAGGCAGAGCTTTTCATAGTGGATGGTTTAGATTTTACTTTGTTGACTATTACTCTGTGGGTTCTATTCATTAGGAAATTAAGATTCCGTCTTTCTGTTTTGCTAGTAATTCTTTTTGTGCATATTTGGCACATTTGTTGAAAACTTTTGCAAAGTCTGTAGATTATATCAGTGTTTTATTTGTCTTCCATGGCTTCCAAGGCCATGTAATAATCTAGTAATTGTGAGAAGCAGGAGTGACCTGCTCTGAACCTATGCTGTCCAGGGTTATGTAGACATTGTGATTGCATGTGTTTTGTGAATTTATGGCTTGGCACTTTTTCAAAAATGTTCATAATATGTGTGATGTTATATAGTGCTATTAATCTATAATTTTTCTTTTTGCATCTGCTTGACTGCAATCTCCACTGTTTTGTGTATTTACTACGGGCACTGCACTAAATACTTGCAAGCTGTCTGTTGAAATCCGCATCTCGGTATCTGGCAACATTATTGTTTACATATCGGTAGCTGCATACTGCATGGTATGTAATCATTACAGACGTTGTTAATAACATAATCAGAATAAATAATTTTGTTGACATATAACTTTGCTGATTTAGTTAAGTACATGTCTGTGTAACCACCTGTCCATGTGGGTTCTCATATTTAGATTGCACTGTTTAAATTGTTGCTTCTATCTTGGGATCTTGTTGGGACGCTAGCCATTTTGATAAGGCTACAGCTGTCACTGCTTGTCTTTAAGCATTTACTAATGTCTTTTTAATATTAATGTGATAGGGTTGGATTGATAATCTAAAGTGACTGGGCCTACTGATTACTTGACAGCTCTCCTGGTATTATGTTATTAGTTTTTAATTAAGTATTTTGTGAAAAGTTTTGCTTTAAACTGAGACTGGAGAGCTTAGGCTATTACTCATGTTAAATATCATTTGTTTTTAAATGTATATTTCCTTGACATTGTTTACACTGCAGATAGCAATGAGCAATAAAGCCAGAGATATTAAATGACATTGTGCTTCTGGAGGTGCAAAATGTAAAGCAAAGAAAGAAATAGAAGAGACAAACTTGTGATACTGAAAACATGTGTAACGTATAATTATGTTATTTGGTTGATTAGACACACAGAGTTTAGTGTTTTTTTATATTTAGTATAGTCTTTGTTAAAGAAGTCGACAGAAGAAGTTCTTCTTTGTTAAAGAAGTTGTTGGCAGTGTAGTGAAGTGTTGTAGAAGTTGAGATGAAGCCTGGAGCAGGGCAGAGAACCAAATGAGGCTAGGGGTAGAGACCTCAGATGCGGGGTGAAAGTCATAGAGCGTGGAGCTCTGAATGCAGGCGGAGTCGAGGAGCTCGATGCGGAATGAAAGCATGGAAGCTGGATACCGCCGGAGTTTGGCTGTCTGCTCTGTGTTGAGGCTGAATCATCTTGTGAGGGTAGGAACTGGACACGATGAGAGCTACATTGTTGTTGATGAATATTGAAGATGTGTGGTACCTTGCAAGCGTCTGTACTGAACCACTCTAGAAATTTGACGGAAGATTATTCACTTATCAATTGTTCATATAATTGGTCCACACCTCGCCATCCTCTAGCAGGTAGGGAAGAAGTGTTAATTGTAATTAAGAGGTATGAATTCGTAATTAGTGGACTAAGTAGAATTAACAAACCCATCTCATTATCTGCACATAAGCTAATGAGAGTTTGGAGCACATATATTATTGACATACAGTAATATACTTGCTACAGTTGCAAGTCAACAGAATATTTTGATGTACCTGACAGTACCTGATGTACCTTTAGGAGCCTGACAGCTGAGTGGACAGCGCTTCAGATTTGTAGTCCTGAGGTTCCGGGTTCGATCCCCGGTGGAGGGGAAAACAAGTGGGCAGAGTTTCTTTCACCCTGATGCCCCTGTTACCTAGCAGTAAATAGATACCTGGAAGTTAGACAGCTGCTATGGGCTGCTTCCTGGGGGTGTGTAACAAAAAGGAGGTCTGGTCGAGGACTGGGCTGCGGGGACGCTAGGCCCCGAAATCATCTCAAGATAACCTCAAGATAACCTGTAGATTGTGATAGTGCTATACTAGCTGGAGCTGGATATATAGGAACAACTAATACAGTATTTTAATGATATTGGTGAATGATCTAACACTAATTGTGATCATGAATACTGGATAGCCAAGGGAAATGTTAAATGTTAAGATGCTAATATGTAGTGACTTTTCTTTATCAATGTGATTGTATGACAATGAGAGTGCTGAGGTTTCTTTTGAGAAGTCTTATTTCATATATATTCATAGCCCTACAAACAAGCAACATGCAAGACATTGGTTATGCAATTCAGAAAGCAAAGAAAGTCTTTTCTTTTTCTCCCTATAAGGTTATGACTTCAGGATGTTCATTAAAGTTTAGTGAAGAGGGGGTTAAATAACTGGAAAAATACAAGCAATCAGTTATGTCGATATGAAGAAAATTCCTCACATAGAGGAATCATAGTAGTAAAATCATATTAGGAAAGCAGCATGTAAAGGATTTGGGAATAATGATGTCTGACAATCTAACGTTTGGGGAGCAAAACCAAGCAAATATTGCGTCAGCCAGAAAAATGATAGGATGGATTATGAGAGCTTTCAAATCCAGGGATCCCATCACAATGGTTGTACTATTCAAATCACTTGTGCTGTCCTGTATTGAGTACTGTTTAGTTCTCACTTTCCCCCTTCAGAGCACGAGAGATTGCTGAAATAGGGGGAATACAGAGAACATTTACAGCAAACATAGACACGATAAAGCACCTGAATTATTGGGATCGTCTTGAAGCTCTCCAAATGTACTCACTAGAAAGACAACGAGAGAAATATCAAATATATATACACGTGGAAAATACTGGAGGGACACGTCCCAAATCTACACAGTAAAATAACAACTTAATGGAGTGAATGATATGGAAGAAAATGCAGAATAGAACCAGTGAAGAGCAGGGGTGCCATAGGCACAGTCAGAGAATATTGCATAAACATTTGAGGTCCACAGTTAATCAACATACTCCCAGCAAGTATAAGAAATATCGCAGGAATAACCGTGGATATCTTCAAGAGAAAATAAAGTAGTTTTCTTCAAGAAGTGCCAGACCAACCGGGCTGTGGTGGATATATAGGCCTGCGGGCCGCTGCAAGCAACAGCCTGTTGGACCAAACTCTCACAAGTCAAGCCTGGCCCCAGGCTGGGCTTCGGGGGTTGAAGAACTCTCAAAACCCCATCAAGCAGATAATCATTGGTGCCAAGAAACACCAGCGTGGTCCTTCAACTTCTAGCTCTCAAGCAATCAGAGCAGACCAGCTAACCCTAGCTGAACTGTAATTGGTTTAGGCACCACTGCCTATTTCCCACCAGAATATATTTCATAGACTGGCCACTAGGCTTCAGGGTGCCATGCACTTTTCGAGGGGTAGAGGGGAATAGAAGGAGGAAAAGGGAGACAACCATATGTAATTCCTACCAAGAATTGATCCCCCACTGTCCAGAATTCAGACTAAGATATAATTAGATCTCGTTAATTAGTGTAACACAATTATTGTTCCTGGGTAGTAAGTGTTAATTTCTTATTGCTTATGCCTACAAAGTATAGAAAATGGTTATTATTCTCATACTTTGAGAAAATTCACAAGAGCCGTGATGAGGCTTCGATCCTATGGGAACCCAGATGCTGTCCCCCTATTTTGCTTTGACCTTTGCCTTTGTGTGCATACTTGCCTTATTGTGCTTGGGACGGGTGGGGGGGTTGAGTTTAGGCTCAATTCTGGGACTAGCTGTTTGGTGGCATATCAAGGGACTTTCTTAATTTCCATTTTGTTTTCGACAAGATAAGACCTCAGTATAGGCACTGCATATTCCAGAATTGGAATTACATATATAACATTATAATATTCCTTCGGATTTCCAAAGGCAATTCTTAAATTGGCCAACCTAGCTATACCATTGATATCATCCTTTTGATGTGAGCTAGAAAAAACTCATTGCAATATTTGCTGACAAATCTTTGTTTTTGCCTGGTTCTTGAAGGTTATAATTCCACTGTAGTACCATGTGTTTGGCCTCCTGTTTGCAGCACCCAGCTTCATTACTTTACACTTATTTCAGTTAAACTCCAGCATCCATTTTTTGGACCATTCTTTCAGTTTGTCCAAGTCATCCTCATAATTTTGCATCATCAGCAAACATTTAAAAGAACAAGTCTATTCCCTCTGGAAAATAGTTGTCATATCAGGGACAGGATAGGCCTGAGCATTAGCAATTTTGGGACTCTGCTGGTAATATCACGCTGCTTTGAGATCTCTACTTTGACTCGCTGTCTTCTGTCATTTAGATACTCCTTTGTCTACTGTAGCATCCTCTTTGTCACTCCTTCCTGCTTCTCTAATTTGTGCAATACTCTTATAGGGTATTGTGAAGAAGGCTTTTTAACTCCATAAATTTGCAATCTGTCTATTCTTCTCTCTCTCTTGTCTGGTTTCAGTTGCCTTCTCATAGAATTCTATTAGGTTTGTGAGGGGGGACAAGATTTATCATCCCAAGGGGTATGGTATCACTGTGCTGGTGGTATAAAATCTCTTCTCCTTAGGTGTGCTACTAACCTCTTCATCACCTAGCATGGTATGCAAGAAAGGGACATTTGCCTGTTGTTGTTGTACCTTCTGTTCGTCTTGTATATTGCTATCTTCTAACTTTCTGTTAGTTCCCTGTATAGTCCAATAGTAATTATTGGACAGGTTATGGAACTTCTCTGGGTGAGCGACCATACCAATAGGTGGACGACCATACCTAACACTCTCCATGGTCCTCGTAGTATCATTAAGAATATTGTGTTGAACTTACACATTCATTGTCTTAATACCATACCCAAGCTTTATAAAATCCCCCCTGCAGATTCTTTTTGAAGAATTTGGAAATTAAAGGTGTTTAGGAAAGATACAGTGGCAGTGTCACAAGATTGCTGAAGGATGGAATAAATAAGATTGTGTAGCATTCTGTGCTTGGATCATCAAGAGACACATAGTAGCAGTAAGTAGAGAATGTGTTGACTTACTCTTATCAATGTATTCTTGAAATATATCTGGTCAAGCGAGAGGGTTAACTATTCATAATAATACAAATAAAAGCTTACTATGTTATTGGAGTTTTCATGTCGCCACTGACCTGTTATCGGGAACATGAAATATAATATATAAACATTTTGTATACATATTACATTGCTAATGTGATGGAACAGTAAAATACACTGGGAAAGTGTGATATGTTTATTATACAATAGACTAGATAGGTGGGCTTTGTGAACCACAACATGGAACCTCAGACTTTGAATGTTACATCTAGTATACAATTTAAATTTGAATAAGGGTTTAGCTGTATATTTAACTAGCACGACGACAATAGCAATTATCATAAACTGGGTCATATATATATATATATATATATATATATATATATATATATATATATATATATATATATATATATATATATATATATATATATATATATATATAAATAAAATATATATATATGTGCTGTTTTCTAAAACTATATATTTGTACTTTTATCAGAACACTGGTAATTACACAATATAATACTGTATATCTATATGAAAAGAATCAATCCCAATGTTAACAGCAAGCACGATCTCTGTGCACTCCACATCTCGCTGCACCATTATCATCTATAAAAAAAACGTGACGTGCAGAAATTGTATACAATTCCCCCAGTATTAGATAAGTTGTAAGAGAGGACGAAATTTGCATAATTTATTAAATATTTTTAATATATTAAATCGCAAATTGGATTACACTTGGCGTTAGCATTCCCGCCGAAGTCTTCAACTGCCTTGTTGAAGACTTCTGACTCGCCGTTTTCTTCGTCTCTGTTTACGTGTGAGCGACGCGGCGAGGTGGTAGACGGCGTGGCCGCGTGGGTGTCTTCACGTCGACACGGAGACCAGCATGGGTGTCTTTTGCCAGGCCACATTACCGTCGACAGAAGACGCCAATGACCAACCCTAGAGCAAGACTCGCCTTTACCCCCACATGGTTATTTCATTCTTCAACCTGTGAGGTCACATTTCTGGACTATGGCGGATTCCTGGCTGCACAAGGATTTTGCACCACTTGGCAGAAATGACAAGAGACTTGATAACACTTCAAGGAGAGAGGTAGGAGCCAAGTGTATAATAGGCATTTGTACTGTAGACAATGTCAGGTGTCATTGAATCTTAAACTCAAAATATTTCCTTTCAGATCTTATATAATCTTGTTAATTTGTTATATATTATTAGACAATATTAGATTTAACGCCTGTTGTTATGTGTGTCCCTCTTCTCTGGCAGCCGTTGTGGATTGCAATTTGTTGTATTTGAACTAAACTAAAAAAAACTTATTGTTAAAGGATAAAATTTGACAGCCTAGCGAAAATTTGACATAGCCTAGCGTGATTGTGTAAATCTTACAATTTGCCCCGCGTATGTTCCAGGTGATGGCTTTTAACGGCTGAAAATTGGGTAAAAATTTAACATTTCTTGTTGGTAAGGGCTTGTTTCTATAACGGACCCCTTAATTCTTTCCTTCTCACATTTATCTCGTTTTTGTGAACTATTCGTGATTTTTAACTATAAATATTGCCTCTGCCTCGGCTTGGAATCAAACCCGGGGCTTTAGGATAATGATCTCCGAATGCTATCCTCTCGGCCGTGTGTGTATACAGGTATATAAATATACCAGGGTGTCCCAAAATTTTGGTTCCCATAGGCCAAAATATACTTATTTTGGTCATAAGTATAAAAGAAAATCACTAGAGTTTTTGTATAAACTAAGTGATAATTCATAAACTATATTAAAATAATCCAAGTGGTATTCCTTTATTTGCCTATGGGGCCAGACTTTTGGGACACCCTGTATATATAATATATATACATATTCAATATATAATAAATATATAATACACTCGCACAGAATTGTTGATGTCTGTGTATTACATAATTTGTGGTTGGGAAGTTACATACATGTTTGTGTATTTAGTAAGGTAATGAAAGTTTACAATATACTCTAGAGGTACTGTGATCATATGGATTACATTGCACGGGGACCATGTTGTGAGAAGGAAACATTGCGTAGAGCAATTTATAGTGCTTGATGTAATATAATATTAGCGTTATCTGTCATTTGACATCAAAATAAATATAACCTTAGGTTAAAATAGACTTACAATAGGTTCACAATAAAATCAATGTACAGTATTTAAATAATGAAAATGGAAAACTATGTAAAGGTATTATTATATGTTCATAGCTGCAGAAGTTGTTACATCACTTGCTTGTATAAGCTATGGGATAGTTGTCAGGGTATAGACAGCATGTTAGATGTGTCGAAGTTCATCCCCTCCTTACAGGCCTAGGGCAGGACTGTCAGCTTGATCACCCATCTAGTGCTGGTCTTGGGCGTGACAAACCAAATGAGGTAGGACTTACATTTATAGAGATGAAGCATAAAAATAAAGATCATTGTGCAAAAAGCTTGTCGTATACCTTAAGTGTTTAGATGACGCGTACTTTGTTGAAAGGGCTCCGATATTTCCGTGTTTGTAATAGCTCATGTTGTTCGGTGCTGATAATAAATATAACAACGTTATGAGCAGTGTCAATACAAGCTGAAAAAATAGTACCGTTTTCATATAATGAAAACATAGGCAAAGCTCCCGAAGTTGCACTATTGGAAAACTGTAAGCACTTATGGTTCAGGGCAGAAGCAGCCATCGTCCTTTAGTTTTGAGGTGATGAAGTCGATGTAGTTTGAGATACGAGCGTAGACACCCGGGAACTTGGCACGAGCACATCCCTGGCCCCAAGACACAACACCTGCAATCATATTAATATTGTTTTAGTGCTGTCACTGTTTTGCAACTCCTGTATTATTTTTATAATATAATTATGACGTGCAAGTAATCTCGTAAGATTGGTATTATCTTGTGCAGCTTTTCGCTAATCTTAATAACCATCTATTGAGAAGATGAAGTTTAAAGATAAAACTCAAAATGCAATTAAATGAAATTCATGAATAAGTATTGGTAAAACATATTTGGTACAGATAATGTGTTTACCTTGGTGCGCCTAATCTGACAGTGTAGGTCCTACCGCTAAGTCTTGTTTGGTCCCTGCCTGGGTGTCGAGTCGTAGTCACGTCTGGCATTTAAAAATGTCCTGAAAAGTGCTTGCTAGAGATGAAGTAGATTCTTGTCACCACCAGTGAAAAGTCTGGTCATTAGTCGTATCTAAGAACCACTAAACATCGCATGCATAATGCTTTCAAAGGATTTAAAATTATCAGTCAAGGAAGGAGTCACAGCGACGATCTCAAAAACCATACTGTATTACCATTAATATAACCTTGCAAGTTAAACTAACAGCTCTCCAATAGTAATGACACAAATTAGATCTGGTATAAATAGTTATTGGGAGTTTACGAGTTTGTGGCTAACATTTATTATGACGGTTTAGCAATGTAATGTTCAAGGAATTTTTTTCTTTGTTTTTTAAGAACAGTCGGCGGCAACAGTAAAGATACATAAGATCTGTATTAAAAATTATATATATAATAATAATTTGCACCTGAAAGATCTTTCCATAGCCCATAAAATACGTGGGAATGCTGTTTGTCCCGTGGTGCTGAATTTTTAAATCATTAGTCTTGCATCTGAACTGATAAAAGCCATATTGAGTTAATGGTAATGTTCAGCAAAGGTTTCAATAGTAAAGGATAGACATTACCACTCGCTGGTTATAGGTTAGTCGTCTATATGTTATTATGAAAAACTACTTTTACTTACTGACGTTCTGTGTACCACAACTTACGATATAAATTATGCAATAAATTTCTATATTAGCACTTACCAATAAGATCTATGTTTTTGCCGTTATTATAGAGGAGAGGTCCGCCGCTGTCGCCCTGCAAGGAAAGGTAATAATTTATTCAACTATATATCATAGCATCTGAATACTGTCTCTGAATTTGGCCACCTGGAACAAATACTATTCCATTTCGAGCAGCACAATGAGAATAAAAGAGTTTTAAGTTACTCTTGAAAAGTACACTGCGCGGGTTGGTGTGTACTCTACTAAATATTACTCTACTAAATATTAGTACATTTAATTTTGTGAAGAACATCACTATACCTGGCAGGCATCGATCTTTCCCTCGTCGTATCCAGCACACATCATGTTATCGGTAATCTCGTGAGGCTTGTATTTCTTCTTCTTGCACTCTTCGTTTGTCATGATGGGCACCTTAACCTCCCGCACCACCTCGCTGGGGTCTCCGCTCTCTGACTGCCGACCCCATCCCGGAACGGTGGCTAAAATACCTTCATAGGTCTTGTCTGGCGAGGACAACCACAATGTTAACAAAGGTAATAGTACACTATTTGAAGTTTAAACAAATAGTGAAAGCTCTGATGGCAACTGGTATATAAACATGTTTACTTTTGATTTTATCTTCGTATTTTTTGTTTATTTAAGTAAGAATATATTACTAGTGAATACTGAGATACAGTTATTGGTTTAACTTACTTGTAGTGGTGGGCAGACACACGGGCCTGACATATTTGGTGATGGTGACAGGTATGTCCAGCTCAATAACGGCGATGTCGTTGTTGTATGAGCGACGCTCGAAGTCAGGGTGTGGAAAAGATTTTCCTATCTTGCGCTCCTGCCTCCACTCCTCGTCTGTGTTGCTCTTGTTGTAGCTGCCCAGCATGATTCTCACGTACCCTGATCTTACTCTGGGGAGAAGAATCGGAACGTTTATATATAACTTGTTTCAACAGTTAAATTTATTATTATTACTAGCATAGGTACAGCCTCATTTATGCAGTTATCGTACACTGTACGGTAACCCTTTATCTTGTAAATGGTTACATATCTTGTAGATCGTTTCAGTGTGTACAATAGATGAATATTACTTTCAAGAAGAAAATTACCTAAGATAAAGAAAGCATAAGAACATAACATAAGAATAAAGGTAACTGCAGAAGGCCTATTGGCCCATACGAGGCAGCTCCTATCTATAACCACCCAATCCCACTCATAAACATGTCCAACACACGCTTGAAACACTGACCTCTGGACACAGTGGGCTGCTGTAACGAGGTGACGGTCGGTGACAAGCGTGGCGCCACAGTACAGTTTACTGCGATAATAGAGAGCCGCCAGCCACGGGTACTGGCCCACAGAGGTCGGCGTCCCGCCTACTACTCTCCCGTCTCTGTTAGGCGTCCCGCAAGCTGTCCACAAACAATTTTTTTTTTAATTCAGGTAAAATAAAATGTACGGCACAGTTGAAAAAAAAATTGAGTGTTTATGTAAAATATTATATTATATAGTCAACTTCCAGTATTTTTAAGACAAGTAAACATGCCTTGTGACCTTAGACAAATCTTAAGATGGGTAAACATCCTAAAAGCTTACGTTTGTCTCTGACAGTTTGTATTTCAACTTACTGCAGAAAGATGAAGTTATTTTAGCACTAAATATATGTTAATTATTTCGAGCATAACTCTCGTTGAGGTGAAAGTTGAGGGGTGGAAGGGTTGAAGCCCACAGGCAAATGTTGTGGCAGGTGCGACGCCCACAGACATTTGTTGGTAGGCGTTGCACTTGCTACAACACGTGTTGTGACATTTACAGCATTGCTAGTGAAAAAAAAAGTGTGTAACCCAGGCAGCCCAATACTTACTATATTCTTTACAGACGCCATCACAAGTTCCTCTGCTTCTCTGTCTTACATGCTTATTCCCGCCCTGAAATAGATGGAGATACATATGGAGACTTGCTTCCACGGAACTGTTTAACCAATAGCACAAATGCATTTCAGTTGATGGTATAATAAACAACATAACTATACTTTTATATACAAGAAGGTACATTGGGTTTGTGAGAGCACATAACACTGGTGTTCTTACATTCTCCCAAAGCCACTAACATGCATAACGTTTCGGGTTATATTTAAAACTTTAATGTTTGTTTACTTCCGAATTAGATATATAAAACCATGCTACTTTCACATGTTTTTTCCCTGCGACAGGGAACACTTCCGGCGGCCTTGCTCGTTCATCTCTGTTCCCTGCTCGTGCAGGGAAAATAACTTTACACTCGCTCATCCATCATGCAAACATTGCCCTCCATAGTCCTCATACATGCATTAGAGGCACGGGGAAATGATTAACATGTGCAGTACATATTTATACTGCGCTGTACATTGACTGTGGTGTTAGTCTTAGGGATAAGTCTTTCGTCCTCTTCTCCTGTCTGAGTGCATACATTTAAAGGTATTTTAGCTAGGAAGTTCCGTAATTATGTACACTTTATTATTTAACGAAGGGCCGTGTTACTCGATATTTGCTTTGTTATATTCCAACTATCTGATGTGGCAGATGTATCAGATTGTATAGTTGTGGAAGTAAATGGTGTTTAGTGGAATCGCCTCCTCTCTACAGGCACACAATAACAAGACTAGGTGGGTGTCACAACGAGGAAGCGGAAGCTCTGCACGTACACAGCGCGTTGGCTAAACATTCCGCTCCCTCTCGCTTGTATTGTTCCCACGCTTGTCACGATATTCTTCCTAATTCACACAACACACCACGTAAAATTGTTTACTCTCATTCTTCGTGAAGATTATTGGCTGGACATTAATTAGATGTTAAGGGCGTTGTATGCGTTTATGCACTTAAAAACGCATTGATGCTATTTTTGGTGGTCTACCATAATTTTTTTATTAACATATTTAGGTAAATCTGCATTTGTGCAGCTACCCTAGACGATATGTAGGGGAGTACAGTGTGTCAAACAACTAGCTACGTGATGCTAAAAATCCCCATCACATAGGATGGTTAGTTATACAAAGGAATGTGATAAGTAGTCTGCACTGGCAAACTCTGGGTGCATTATAAGGATATCATGAACACAAGAACATTCCAATGTAGCGTGAGAAAGTCACAAACGTAAAAGGGAATGGGTGTTGGGATGGCAGGACCTCTGACTAGTGGGCGGATGTCTCCCTTGGCACGCAGGGAAAGGGTTGTATTTTTTGTTGTATCCCCCTCGCTTCTTAAACATGCCCAAGAGAAAGTTAAAACAGAAAGCGGTTTCCCTTGAGCCCAGCTGTATCTTGTGAGTGTGCACAGGGAAATTGGTTGCCATCTATTAATTGTATATTATTATTATTATATTTAATATTATTATATTAGTCACAGTAGTAGAAGCAAGTAGTAGTTGCTGTAGCAAATATGACATAATTGCTGAAGTTAAATGTGAATTAAGAATAACTACATATAATAAGTAGGAATATAGAAGATAGCCTGAAAACTACTAAAAGTAATTGAAGTCAAGAATACCTGCCACAAGGGGATAAAATTACGAAAAAGAAGACGAGGAAAAGGACAGTGAAAGTAACATGATGTGGAGGATGAGACGAGAGGCAGTGAAAATTAAAAGTAGTGGAGGAAGACGACCTTGACTCCACCACAATTCCTCCATCCCTCCACCTTGTGATTAACGGATGGAGGTTACCACTGCTCCATTGAAGGAGGGGTAGAAATAGCCTAAGCTACTCTATCCCTTTGAGATGTATTTTTGTATTGTCTCAATAAACATACTTGAACTTGAACTTGCTCCATTGAATAAAGCCGACATGCATAAAATCTAAACGCGTACAATTTTAATATATTAATTAGCTATGATCTACGCTTTACTGTAGTTTGATTACAAAACTTTTAGTTTTATGTGGCAAAACTTACCCATATCAACCGTCGGTTTTCGTTATTCCAACCGGTTATTATTTGGTGCCTCAGAACACGGATTATCGACAGTATACAACAATGGTATTGCACAACGGATCAGCACAACATAGGCTTTCACTTTAGTGTGGAGGGCGGAGGTGGTCTTGCTCTGTTGCAGTGGCGATCACTGCCCTTTGTCGCTACTGTCACGAACCCACGATCATCCACCACCCACCACATACACTATTATACCAAAATTTTTAATTTTACTAATAAAATAAGGAACTGTGAACGCTAGTGAGCCCCTTCCTCCCCCTTGCATTTCTTTGCAGTTGCAAGATACTGGAAATGCAAAGGTATGAAGGGTATCTCGATGACCTTGGATTTATTACTCGCCTTCATTGAACCTCTGATAAATATATATCTTAGTTTTCTCGAGAATGAGTACCACCGCTCCAAGGAATATTCACGGGACTAGATGGATGCTTATGTTGAGTTGCCCACAACATTCAGACGCCATAATTTAGTGTTGCTGATTGTTTATGGTTTGAGATCCTTCATCTTAAAGGTGGTTATTATTATTCTAGTTATCCATGTTTTACCGTGGGAGGAACAGAAATAATGTGATCGTGGTGGTAACAGCAGAGGGGAGAGTTTTTAGGGTCAGCAACAGGTGGTGGACTCTGCTGCTCTAAAATTACGTAAGCAACAGGTTAGGTGGAATAAACTGAAAACAATGAACGTATTATTGTGAGAAAAGTATGATAGGGATATATTCTCGTCTTTGTACAGTTCTTAGTCTTGAGAGAAATGGTTTACTGGAGCAGGATTCTGAAATACCCAACTTAAATTCCTAGCCTTGTCTCTAACACCAGAGTAAAAGTTACCCCCAGAGAACACACAACGGACGGAGACTCGACCGATGCATTGCAAGTGATGAAAGCCAGTGAAGCTGTTTATCTAGTCTCTCGACGATTGTGATGACGTAACGTCAGACCCGCTCCAATGATGTGTACTGATGGTACAATATAGAAAAATGGAGAGAGCAAGGTAGAAACGGTTTTGTTGGTTGGAATAAGATATTATCCTCACCAGAGCTGTCCAGGATTAATCTCTCGGTGTATATACACTGAGAAGCTGGGTACATCTCTCGACTCCTAATTATATCACACATGTCCATAATCGTTTATAGAAACCTTTCGCCTTAGTCATTCCGGCCGATGCATACCATAGTCAAGACCATAAACATGTTTTTCTGTCAGTCACCTTATATTCAAATAAATTCTAATAAATTCTTTTCTAATAAATCTTTTCATATACATTATAATAATTCTTGGCCAAAGAAAGATACACGATCTCCCACACTACACCGAATGCCAGTGCAGACTGCCTATCACATGCCTCTGTATGACTAACCATCCTGTGTGATGGGGATTTTTTTAGCATCACCTAGTTAGCTTTTTTGTCACACTGTACTCCACTTCATATAGTCTAGGGTAGCTGCACAAATGCAGATGTACCTCGTGTATTAATAAAAAAAAGATACAAAATGTATCTTATGTGGCTATCTTATGTGTTACCCTTAGAAAGGAAATAATGCAAAGGAACGGTGTAAATGTTTTAGACCATTATTTTTTGTAAAATACTCGTTAGCTACTTGATTCATATGCCAGAGTATACTGACCTTGCCTTTAGTTCATCTCACTTTTATTCATGTGCAATTTATGTTCTCGGGCAGATTTGTATGCAATGTTGAAGGTTTTTTAATGATGAACAGTAAACACGTGTATGATGTTCTGCACCCAAATATAGTTCCTAGAGTAGAGGAGGCATATCCATTTTTTGACTGGTGAGTAATATGGGTAAACCTTCATGTTTATTGCTTCAATACAACGTGAACTATTGTATCGTTATGTTGACCAAACCACACACTAGAAAATGAAGGGACGACAACGTTTCGGTCCGTCCTAGACCATTCTCAAGACGATTGTGTGCATTGACTTGATATGTATATATATATAGCCTATAGTATCGCTATATTCATGAGACCCTACTAATGATAGGTTGTTGATTTTGGAAATAAGGACAACAATAGGTGTGACCAATGTACTGAAATTGACAATAATATGCATATATTTTATGTCTAAGCAAAAAGTTATCGTGTAAACTGGATTACAGACACTCTTGAAGCTTTATGTGGACCAAGCATTAAAGTGAATTTAATAAGGTTTTTAATGTTTCGTATTGATTACAATGCAAGAAAATTAAGAATACAATCACTATGTTACTTTCTGATTATATATATTTTTTGTTTGGGTAGGCAGGCAGGAGGGTTACTCAGTAGACAAAATATTGAAAGTTTTGCGAGGCAGGGTCAAATATAACATTTGAGGTTGATGGCTCATGCTATGTGGTATGAAAAAAATGGGTTTACTGACAATTATAGAAACTATATAAATGTAGTATTTTCCATTGTAAATTGATGTAAATATGATCTTTATATTGTATATTATTGAGTAAAAGAAAATTATATCTCTTGATTAAATCGCTAAGAAGTTACATCTTATATATGTATTCAACCTTTCGAGCGTAAGAGTAAATTACGTATCTTATGAATGTTAAAAGACGAAAAGCAGCTTGGCTAATATCAAATGAATAACTTAATTATTGATGCGTAAGTAATCGATGAAGATGATGTTTATAAGTAATGTTTATTAATGTGAATAGACTTGATAACACCGAATGTAAAGTATCAACATGTATATTTTCTTGTTACAGTTAACTAATAGCAATCGAGTGGTGGGAAGGTTGGGGGGTTGGCGGACCCATGTAGCAGGCTTCGTAAAAAGTTGTCGCCCGTTGCTTCGTCCGTCGCGAGTGACTTGCTGCTTTCAGTGTCAGCAGAAAATCAGCAGAAGTGTACCAGCACTAGTTGTTGGGTGTCGAGGCTGGCTCAGAGGTCGTGTTCCCGCTGCACCAGAGAAAGTTAATGACTTGTTCATGGTGCTCGCCTCTGGCACACCTGACTTGCCTTCCTTCGTACTAGGCTACACTTGCATTACGAATCGCTGACGTAACATGGACTCTTGGTTTACAATCATGGGCGAGGTACACACACCCCTTAAGGTGAGTTTACTTGTATATTGATTTATTTTTGGCGAATAAAAACTATCCTGTTCAATACTCGTAAACGTATATTGTATAGATTATTGGAGAACAGTCAACATTAGTAGACATATGTATTTTGAAGAGCTTAATAACATCATACTTCATCCATTCCAGCCTAATTCAAGATAAAACAAGTAATGCTTCAATCCCTAAGATGGGATGGGATTGGATACTTGCTTAATAGGATATTGCATAGTCTATTTTTTCTTTGAGGTGGGGGGGAGGGGGAGGAGGGGATTACAGGCTTGTTAAGACTATATAATAGTACCTCATGTGCCAGACCGTCCTCCTAAGATTTCTCAACGTCAAAGAAACGGTTAATTTAAAGTGTCCTTTCCTAACATACCAGAGGACCCAAAGCAGAAAACGGGACAGTACGTCACTTTCGCGAGCCGCTTCCATTTTCTAGTACGACAGTTTTTGACCTTATGTAACACATACAAATGAAAAGCGACGTTCTTTTTAGAGGGGACAAGTTGCATGTGCACCACTTGTCTTAATTTCCTTAAACAGGAATTAATCTGAATTTCTTGCTAAACTTTCCAAATACAGTAACACATTTTAGTTACTTGTGTCCAAAAATACCTTGTTACCTGATCTGGACTCGGTGAAAGTTGGGAGAAATCTATTAAGTACAGACTGAGCCGAATGTCAGTTATAATGTGTAATGCAACATACCATTGAATAGTTGTAAAGTAACGTGTAGCACCGTATTACAGCAGGGAAACCAAGAGGTGTATATTGTCGTGTTGGTACCGGTTGATAAACTACTGAGTTTCTTTACACTACACACCATTTCGTTGTTGTATTGTGTAAGACTATTTACAAATTATCAATTTTCCAATATATAATTGGAAAAGGTTTTTCGATTTTGAGGATAAAACAACATTCTTACAATATCGACACATAATAATGTTTACGTATGTAAAATTACATTATGCTTTCTTAATTATGTTTATGAAGGTTGAAAGACCTAAATTTACTACTTAAAGCAGTCTAGATCAAGATAAGAGTTAATTAAACAACTCGCGGCCTTGTCGACATGAGGACTGTGGGAAGTGTGTGGGAGCTTCGTGTCACGTGGCGGTCGTTCTCACAATTAATGCTGGCGTTAGGCTTTATCTCATCGCTGTAGTGGCCAGTGTGCGTGAGGCCAAATAACAGGGTGTGGCGCACCTCAAGTCGTGTGGAGCATCAACAGGTATACTCACATTATTATTATGTGACGTTACTTTGATATATGACATGGCTGGTTAGAAGTTCATCACACTTCCCGATTTCCCATATGAACTGGAGAATCTCGATATTGCTGGGATAGAATGAATTTCTTATATTTGTAGATATTCTTAGCTACTCTGCAGTTAATCAACAATGTTATGTTCCTTTCACAGCCCCTTGAGCCCCCTTGACTACAAGTGCCTAACCTCAAGTGGTGCCACCAACTGTCATTCAGACAGGTGGTGAAGGGGTGCTTTTTTTAGTAACAATTATTTTAACATCATTATATCCAGTTCATCTGGTGAACTTTACAAAATTGCATACTTACTTTAAAACTGATAGACCATATATATATATATACCTGAGCCAGGTCGCAGAGTTGAGCAAGGAGGACAAGTCCGTAGATTAGAGTTACGCTTAGGTGGTTCATGGTGGTGTAGGTGATAACAGAGGTGTACGGGTCTGACACTAGTACACTGCTGGGAGTAGAACCTGCTGCAGCTTTATAAACAGAGGATGGGTGCACGTTGTCTGGCACTCGCTCACTCACACTAATAACTTTCACTCTCAGGCCCGCCATATAAACCCCGCGCCGAGGATGGAAAGGCAGAGGCTCTGGATGTCGCCTGACCACCATTTTACCCTCTTTTGCGGACATTATGCTCACGCTCTTCTCAGTCTCCACACCGGCTCATTCGTTAGTCGCCTTCCCCCCATTGATTCCATTTGGAAAATGCAATAACAATACTTATGTACATTATATAAATAAATAACAAGCATACACTGAGGGTAGTAGAGGTGCAATGTTTGTAGGGTCACCGGAAGTTGAAGGTAAGGTTGGAGGTAACAACCACGTCCTCCATCATGGAGGACGTGGTTGTTACATCATGGCCGCCAGCCAGACACATGGGCCAACTTAATTTCATCGGGTTATGTCTCAAAATATTATTAACTACAACACTTACTCTGTACATATAATTTTTAGAAAACCTTCAAATCTTCTCTATATTATTTTGTCTTCTTAACTTGGGAAGTTGAAATATTAACTTCTAAGTTCAACTTTCATTCTTAATGAGCGTGACACGTTTCGCAAAAATACACTTTAGCATTCTCAGAGGCACTTGGAAAATAAAAACAAAAGAGCAAAAACAGCAGCATTTATTCCAGATACGCGGGATAAGAATTGAGGAGATTATCCTGTCGAGGGAGAGAGAACGCTTGTCCTGCATACTCACTAGTCGGCTGGGGAGATAGATGGTAGAACGTGCCTAAGTCTAAACTGTCTGTTGATATTTGTTTAGAGTCCCATCATTTACAAGGCCATGAGAGAACAACCAATTTACACTAATTCGATTGCCACCTTGAGCAAAAAAATACCCACTGCGAAAATGGTAGCAAAAGCATATCGGAAACTTTCAAAATCAGAGCACAAATCACCAAGAAAATTGAAGAGAAAAATACAGCAGGTACTATTCTAGTCATCACCTGACAAGAAAATTGCTCTTAGGGAGACTGCTATGGCACGAGCCCTACAAACGCCCACACAGTGCCCTAGAAAACGACAGTATTATCACCAGCAGATGACATCAGATCGTACCATTAACTATTGGAGAATCTGAGATCTACAGAGTACCTTTTTCTTTTTCAACTGGGTCAGCAGGTAGTTTTACAGGATTAAAACCCGGACACATCAAGCAAATGTTAAACCCTGCACTTGGTGAAGCTGCATAATATCTCTTGAAATTCGCAAGATTTGTCAACACTCCTGGCCTATGATACACCTGAAGTCAATAGGCCACTCTTGTTAGGTGCTTCCATCTGTGCACTTAAGTAGAAGAACTGGAGAATCAGGCCAATTGCTATTGGCAATACTCTCCAACACCTCGCTTTTAAGGCGGCTACGAGAATTATCAGCCAGCAAGAGGCCGATTTGCTGAAACCAAATCCGCAGCCTCCCAAGGGTGTGAATCATCTGTTTATGCAGCATGAGTGTACATCGCCATCATCTCTGACCAAAAGACTCTGATCAAACTGGACTTAAACATAATATATATCGTGTTTTAATTGATCACTTAATAATTTGGAATGAAGGAAATGTTGCAGTACTTTAATTAATTATATATAGCAAGGTAAGGTGTTATGAACCACCATGTAGCCTCATGATGTAGATCTGTCCCCACACTGAGTTATTCCCCACCTTAGTAAGGAGTCGGAAATTAAATATAGCAAGCAACCGTCATTAAATGTGACCAAGGAGGAGATAAGTCACGGATGAACACTTAGATAAGTCAGTTGGTGGTGAGGTGTCGACTGTATGCGACGGCCCGTGTGCAAAAATGACGTCATCGCGGGAGCATGTCGTGTGCAAAGGTCTTTAGGCGTTAGTAGGGTCGTCTAAAGCCGTAGAGTAGGGGCGGCCTGAAGCCAGTTGGGTGATCGTGCCCTGACGAACCACGGTGGTGAATCCTTCAAGAGGATTTGTTGGGCAGGTGTACCTGATTGGCACCTGTGCTGTGACCCTTCTCAGGCAAGTCAAGATTGAGAGATGATTAGTAGCAGTCAAAAGAGAGTTGTGTGGGAGATTTAGCAGGGCGCCATATTTGGACGTCGTGCGACAAGCATCGCTATCTCCATATTTTGAGGTAAAGAGTTTAGCAAACTGCCATCTCTTGCTTGTTGCAGTGAGATAGTGTGCACAGCTATCTTGTATAGTCTTTATAAATGTAGATTAGAAAGTGTGGAGATAATGAAGTGATATAATGAGTTTTAAGGTGAGTTTATTATGAAGGAGCGTGCTCACTCCGGCGCGTGGAATGTGAAATTGGGATGAGGATTTTAGTTAATGAATGTTATTTGTGTTTCGATGAGAGGATATAATTTATTATTTTGGGGTAATAGAATTGCAAGTTCATGTATGATGGACGTGGTGTGTGTCCAGAGTTGATGTAGCAGTGGTACATGGTGTACACGATTCGTCATTAATTGATGTAGCAGTGATATAGAAGCTGCTGCAAGATGATCTACTTAATTTTTTTTATTATTATTATTTTCTACCACAGACGTGGCCACACATTTACAATGCTAACTAGCATATATACATTGTCTTGTGTCCTCCATGGACAGGGTGAGAGATTTGTCAAACATACAGTTCAAGGATTTATTGAACAATCAACCACAGAAGGTGACTGTAGTGCTTTTAAAATACTAGGCTAAGCTACATACGTAAAATACATAGATACACAGATTTATGTATGCTACATAGTGTTTGATGTGTCTTTTACATAGTGTCATTAATGTGCATTTACAAAGGTGAAATGTAATTCTGATCAGCTTCCACATATACTTTATACACATACACCCATATACATATATACATACATATGAGTGGCTCCTCCGGTGCCGGTGGCTCCATGGGAGTCGGTGGCCGAGCGGACAGCACGCTGGACTCGTGATCCTGTGTTCCCGGGTTCGATCCCGGGCACCGGCGAGAAACGATGGGCAGAGTTTCTTTCACTCTATGCCCCTGTTACCTAACAGTAAATAGGTACCTGGGAGTTAGTCAGCTGTCACGGGCTGCTTCCTGGGGTGTGTGTGGTGTGGAGGAAAAAAATAGTAGCAGTAGAAACAGTTGATTGACAGTTGAGAGGCAGGCCGAAAGAGCAGAGCTCAACCCCCGCAAACACAATTAGGTGAATACATATATACACACACATACACATACATTTGTCTCTTTTACTCTGACAGGGTGAGATAGCTGATAGAGAAACTAGTGTGTAATTAAGAACTTAACCACTGAAGGTGATTATGATTTTACAAGCTCAGGTTATATAGTTACATCACATACATTGTATAATTGATACATTACATGATCAATCTAAGGTACTTAATTTGAGGACCCACTGATGGATGGTCCCAGTAGTGATTCCCAGGAAGATCAATCACCGTAGAGGAGACTTGTTGTGTAGCGAGAGTAGCTGATCTTCCGGATGAGATAAAGAGGGTTGTGAGGGCAGCAATATATGCTTGAGAAGTGGATGGATTCATGTAGTATGCCTAACGCAATGCATGGAGAGAGCGTTGATATTTTTTTTATGGCGTAAAATTTCATTGCAAAAGCCTAGCCCAGACGGCGAGATGACAGCCACAGTGCGTTGCTGAAAAAGAGCAGGCAGCAGCCTAGCAGTGACAAATCAGATGGTGTATTGCTCATAGGGGAGAGTGATGCTATTGTTGTAGAACCATTACCTGATATTACCATGTTTTCGTTATTCTTTATTGTTCGTAATAAATGTTTGTCTGTTAGACAAGCGTGTTTGACCTTGTCCTGGTGAGGATTTCTAAGAGGAAAGAGAGAAACAATTGCAGGACGGACGACAGCATACAGAAAACAAAAAGGGGAACTACAAGGAAGTCACCCTCTCCTATTCTTAGCGTAAGTCATGGAGGCTCAGTATGTCATGTGTACACACGTCATGTATGTACTCATGACAATGGGCCAGATTTGAGCTGAATCCCAATAGTATGACATTGAGCTCCTTCTCCATATTTAAGTCCATTACCTGGGGACTCTCCAGTGTGTGCTCCACTGGTGTTAGTAGTAGAGGTGGTATAAGAAGGATATTATATTATAGTGTTTTTGTTTATTTTATCGGCGGCTCCCTGGTGAAAGGCCAGGGTAAAACTGGAGGACACCTGAGAGTTTAGGGGGCCCTGATAAAGGTGAATTAAAAGTCGTGAAGATAGGATTCATCAAAGAAAGGTAGATAACCTTGTAGGGATTTGAATTAGGAATTGACTGGATTGTTGTAAATATTAATTATAAGCTTGAGTTTATTGCTATAAATATTCATTATTAATCACTATTTTTCCATAATAAATGTCGTGTCAGAAACACTGACATGAAGAATTGTTAGGGCACCCTGGATGTTCCACTTTGGCCGCAGACTAATGTTTGTTTTGGCGCCAAAGTTATGCAGGTAAACCCCCCCTCTAGCGCCTCTTTAGATTGATTTACAACGGCTATCGAGGTGGGAACTGTTGCGCTTTGACTATAAGGAATTTACAGTTTCTTAGTAATTTGCATTGGTTTCCGATGTTAACTATCATACGATAGCTAATACTGTAAATACTTAACATTATTTACAGTATTCTTCTTAGTATAAATGCAGCTTTATTGTTACTAGGCTGTTTGTTAATTTTTCTGATTTAACTTCTTATATAAGTGCCTTATTTATTTTTTGTTCTACTTTGTTCTAATGGTTACCACCTTTCAGACCCGGGGAGTAACAAGGAGGGACAACAAACAGACTGAAGTACAGAATAGCAGCCTCTGTAACAAAAAGTGTGAGTATTCGGCACCTTCTTTAGCTAGGATGTCATAAAAATACTATAAAATCAGAAAATGGGGAAGTAATACTGTAAGTGCTTAACTGACTGCCATTGGTCATAATTGCAACCTCGCCGATGCCTCTGTCTCGTAATAGACTCTGTTATTAACGCACGTCGTAATAAGTCATTCTGACTGGCATTTGTAATA